ATTTTGTTTTATGGAATTGTTCTAAAAATAGCAATTTTCAAGAAATATTAGGACACGTTTCCTAAAAAGCGTAACTGTAACCTACAAAATAATGGTATTTCATTGAACCATGAGACATTAACTTCATGATTGTACATAATAAACTAATGAACATTGTCATGTAATTTATGACCAATTTTGTCAAAAATTATGACTAGGCTTCATTACCTTCGCCAAATACTGAGATATGGGGAAACTTTTACCATTAGAACCAATGGACGACTACAATATTTTTTTTTGGCAAATAATTTATTCCATTACATTATTTCTTTTTCCAGTCCCCTTACAGTTTTCAGGTAGGTAACTATATCTAGGTAACAATGCTGTTCAATTTTCCAATCCTATACTGCCTGTGGTACAAACGGAAATTACTAAAACACAAATGGTTTACATACCTGTCATTCTTAATCCCTCCAATGTTTGTTTACTTATGCACATAGCATTTCTTTGAGATTTTGTGAAATTTCCTGGTCGTGTCAAGACAGCCTCTTCCCAATCATCAAGATATTTAAGAAAATCATTTTTAAGCCACTGGAATGTAAGAAATGTGCATTTAAATTTGAAATAAAGCCAATATGTATTATATTATACTGGTATATCAGATCTATGGCATATAATTAAAATTGGCTTAATGTCACCAAATTGTGGATCAAGTAAATTTATTATAGTCACTGAAACTGATAGCCTATAAATGTACAAGACTTGTTATGCTATTCCATGATGTCATACACATGCCCCTTGCAAAGTAATATATTTTACCTTCAATCGTGGATCATTTGCATCAGTATAAGGGGCTAGGTTTGGTTTTCTTTTCCGCACATGTTTTTCCTTGCTCCTCACATTCAAGCAATCAAAGAATTTGTCCATAAAACGTACATACTTGGCAGTTGCTGTAGCTTCTGGTGGTCCAAAAGTTTCTATAGCATTGGCTACAGTTTCACTTAAGACCTAGGATAAAAAAATAATCATAAAGTTACACAAAAACAATAAATAAAAAATAGGTTTGTTAATTGGTTTAAATGTTTGTTTCGGCTAATGTGTTACATGTATAACTTCAATATACATTGATTTTCCGCTCACTGCAAGATCTTGCATATTTGTAAAAGGCATTATGATTTGATTTTGAATTTCCTTATATATAGCTAATGTCACAGTGCCAACCTTTGGGAGGGGAATATTTAATTGGAATACTCTTACTTCATCAAAATCGACAATCATAAAATTTATATATTATTTGGCAGGAAAATACCTCAAAATTATTTTAGCATTTGTTGAATCCCATGTGATATTTTGATGTCACCACAAAGCTATGACCCTTGTTTGTTTCGTTTTTAGGTTTGATTTCATGCATAACATAGGATCTTGCATTGAACAGAAAACGGTATATTGCATTAGCATAGTTTGATGAATAAATGTCATTTGCACATTTGGGGTAAAGCAGTGAAGGGTCATCAACAAGAATACTATCCACTCATTGTGTATAATTATTTTTACTCACCTGAGCTGCAAGGTTCACTTTCATAATTGAGAAGGATGTTATATTAATGTGTTCGTATCCAATTTTATGCAATAAATGAATATCCCTTGACTGGTCATCAATTACTAAGTTAGTCAAATGTCTCCATAAAATTGGATTTCCATTCTGTAAATACAAGGATGCATAATTATTAAACCATATGTACTACATTACATTGCATAAGTTTCCTACACCTTTGAATATATTTTTTCACATACTGTATTTGTTATGTTAGTAGTGCTTGCCCTCTATGTTAATGACAGAGGTGTCAAAGAAATCATAATGATCAAGTATACAAAAATGCAATCTATGATATATATGTCCAATACATACCCATAAACTTCTTGATTTTCGATGAGCCTCAGAATTAGCCCAACAATTCCTGGCAGTTTTAACCAAGTGGGGGACATCAGATATGAAATATATAAACCTTTCATTGGAAGCCCAGATATTTTTGCACTTGAATACTAGTGTATCTCTGGGTGCACCTGGAACCCTGTGCATTCTGTAAAATTTCCTGTTCCATGAAGCACCATCACTTGTTGATACCAAAACTTTCAAACCACAGGATACTTCAAGGTATTTAATTGTATTCCAGATGATAGGGAACAGGTGATCGGCCCTACAACCATCAGTTGGATGGTAGGCCACACTCATATGCAAATTAGATGCTAGACCACGAATCATGAGAACCAAAATGTGACTAGCAATTCCCAGTTCTCCAGTAATGCTCTCATCGTTGCTGCATTTCTCAAGTTTCAACAGCTCATTATTGATGTTGCCAAGATTAATGAACCCAATAAGCTCCCCTGTATATTTATCATATACTAGTTCTTGTTTAACCTTAAGCTCATCATGAAGAAGCGCTACATATTTCCCACCTTCACATTTCCCATGTGAATTCAATTCAGATATCACTTCTTTCAAAACTGAATGATTGATTCCTGGCTGAGGCTTAATACAGTTGGAGTAGCTCAAAGTTCTCTGACTTGGCAACTTAACAAACCCTGAAGAACGTAATGCTTCATATGCAGATGATGATTTGAATTTGAGAAAGAGACACCAACGTATAATTGTTGGATGCCAGCGCATCTGTCGGCTGTCATTACATCTAGCATGTTTTAGCTGTTCTTCCCAAAATAATCGTTGAAAGCTGTCTTCTGGATAAGATTTAATTACCTCACTACTTTTATCTTCCATTATTGCCTTAAGGTCACAATGCAATGATTTATCAACGCATATACTGTCAACACTAATGAGTCTCTTCGCTGCTCTATTCAATGACTTCCGGAAAGTTGTCTTTTCTTTCTGTAGGTTTTCAGCTCTTTCTTGCAGTTGTTTTTTGTCAAGATAACGTAAGTTGACTCGACTGTCAGGATGTGTTTTGCGTTCATGATCTTGACTTTCTCTTCTTGACAACAATGATCGAAGATTATTTCGATAGTTAGAACATTTAGTGCATCTTTTTTTTCCTGTGACAATTAAAGAACAATCAACAGACCGAATGGTAGAAGTGTAGACTGTACCATCTATTGATCTTGCATTAAAAGCATCTTCAATGTATGCAGAAATTTGTTTTTCCCCAGAAAAAGAAATTGATTTTACAATCTCTCCTCCTCTATTCTGTAGGAGCTCCATAAATGACTGATCTGTATTTCCCATGCATACATTACATTGACTTATCAGAGTTATCAAGTTGTTCAGAATACTCATATCTGTTACTATTGGTGGAATGCCTGCAAACATACTGTTACTGTTGATAACATTCTTTCCATGAATTTTCACACGCCAGCATAAATTATCATCGATCATAAGACATTTTGCTACTTTTGACTCATCACCAACAAACTCAATCTTACAAAATCGGAATTCTGTTGATGAACTCAAAATTGACCAACTGGAAGGCAGCACGACCTCACCAACATGTTGTTTAAGATACATAAAAGAAAACAAAACTGGCTCTGGTTCTGGTTCATGACATACCTGAAATATAAAATATTAATATATTTAGGTTGTTACAATATGAGTTTGACTCATGCCACTGTTGCCATAAAGAGATTCATTGTCTCATTGTGATACTGTGAAACTATAATGTGTAAGCTATGTATCTGTCTACCTGAAGCAGTTTTTCCACTTTTTTTCTTTCAACTAAATTTTTGTAATAACGCTTAGGCTGGTCCCATTTATTTTTCTTGTATGGCATTTTAAGATCCTGTAAGATAATTTAAAATTAATGCAAGAACATCACCAGAAATACAAATTGTTTTATGAGCCACAATACAGAGCCTTACTAAAACTGGTGAAAGAACAGAGAGCTCTGTATGGCTTCTTAAGGGCTCTACAATAAAAAAATAGGGTGGGCTGGAAGATTTTGGATATAACAACATAAAATTTTCTGCCCAATGAATTGAAGAAAAAATAAATTGTTTATTTTAAAAAATGCTACATAGGATATAAATAATTCAATTGAAAGCAATGAACGGAAAATATTACCCCCCCCCCCAAATTTGACATTGAGTAGATCTTTTTTATATCAGACATGACGCATATTCACAACATTTGCATTTTTGTTGCCATTAAATCAAATTGAATATAACACACTTTCTTCAAAAGGAGACTATTCCCCGATAAAAGGAACTATAAATAAAAGATAAATACTGAGGAGGACAACATTCAACATCATACACCATGTATAAAAAGGTTACAAACTTAAGTGGTCAAACCGAAACACAGTCATGAAATCAAATGTTATGTGTTCAGTCCCTGACGACAACATTCGTAAAAATAGCCGAATTTAAAGATATTGAAAGTAAAACACCAACATATAAACTAATTCTTACAAGAATTTTATAGTGGTTAAAGATACTATTTTTGAAAAGTCCTTTTATTTTTTAAACTATTTTTTGCAGGCAATAAGTAAATGGGGCAGACGATATTATTTTTAGTCAAAGGCGCCATTTGTATTTTCTTCACGAGAAACAAGTCGTCTGCAAATTTTAACAAATAGATGATTTATGATAACAGTACGGATTAAAGAAATACAAAGCCTGAATCATCGATAATTAAACTTCAATATTTGTTTTATAAATGAACAGATTATCAACATTAGGCCCTCGGTAGATGGTTACAAAAAATTGTCTTTGCACTGACACCCTGAGGTACGAAGTCAAAACACGTACAAACACAATCTCATGATTTTCTAATGAAAAAAATGAAAAAAAAACATTAACAGTGTCAGATACACTCACCTTGCTTTGGTTCCTGTTAGTTGTAATCTCTTGGTGTAGATGCTTTTATCGAAGTATATAACATAAATAATGTCCGTTTTGTCATGTAATGAAACCGCTGTTACGACTACCAGAAAGTGGGCGAGATGCCGGCGACGTCAATGACACTTGGGAAAAGCGAAACGCGCATCGTCAGCTGACACTTGTAAACAGTCGACATGACGTCACCAATTCGTCAGCAGCCAATGAGACGAGCCATCAAACCAGATTACCATGACAATTACAGTGGTCGTGCAGCGTTTCCCAACCGTTCGTTGAGGGACTGTGG